TGAATCAAACATGCACTTTATTTATTTCCACTAAATAACAAAAGTACATCAAAATGATTGAAGCTAAGGGCATACAAAACTGTCTAACATAGACACCTTCATCCACATACATAGAACTAAGTGCACATACTATTGGAGTCATTGTACCTCATTAACATTTTTAAGGTGTGGAAGAACAGAGGGAAATAAATGAATGAATCCCAATCCATCATTGGGATTCTGCTAATGTGGAGTTGCTCCACCATAGATCATTCCAGAACTTTATTCTTGTTCCATTACCCACCCTATATCTTATGAAAGAAAGAAAGAGGTTGTGAATGGAAGAGATACATTTCTAAGGATTTGAGGAAGCTGATTGGTTTGAGTGGAGATTGCAGTTCCAACTGTTTACATTTAACCCATACTTGCTGGTGATGATAGCTGCCCAAAGGGAGTTTGATTCCAAGGGGAATCTCCACAACCATTTTTCAAAGAGGGCATTATTCTTCTCTTTTAGGTGTTCAATTCCCAGCCCTCCATCCTCTTTTGGTTTACAGACCTGACTCTAATTTACTAAATGCCCTTTTTTAACACCTCCACCTTCCCAAAGGAAATCTCTTTGAAGTTTTTCGATCTGTAATATGATTTTAGCAGGGATCTGAAACACTAAAAGGAAATAGACAGGCATATTTGCAAGGGAAGCCTTAATGAGAGTAATTCTGCCCCCTTTTGAGAGATAGCAACTTTTCCAAGTAGCTAACTTCTTTTCACATTTTTCCATCACTAGCTCCCAGAAACTTGGTTTTTATGGATTCCCGCCTAGTGGCATGCCCAAATAAGATAGGGGAGATTTTCCACTTGGCAATTCAGAGTTTCCTTGAACTTTTCTAACAGGGAACCTTTAATTTGGTTTATAGCTGCTAGGCTACTCTTTGAGTAATTTACCTTCAAACCCAAGACTAATTCAAATCATTGAAGTACTCTTTTCACATTTAATATATTCTCCAAATTGGCTTCTAGGAACAGTATCACATCATCAGCAAAAAGGAGATGGGAAACATTTATGGCATCTCTTCCTACCTCAAAACCTTTGATTAAGTTAAGGTTTTTGGCTTTCACCATAAGCTGGTTAAAGACATCCATTACCATGGTGAAGAGGAACGGGGAGAGAGGACAGCCCTGATGTAGACCCCTACTAGCTTTAAAGTAACATTTGGGCTCTCCATTGATCATGATCGAGAACCAAGTTGAACTTATACATCCTTTCATCCATTGCAGCTATTTCGTTCCAAAACCCCTCAAATTCAAAACCTGGAGAAGGTGGTCTCAATCTACTTTATCATAAGCTTTTTCAATATCTAGTTTCACAGGAAGGCCCATCCTTCCACTCTTCCTTCTATCTTCTACAACTTTGTTTGCAACTAGGATGTTGTCTACAATCTGTCTTCTTTTCACAAATGCAAGCTGATTTTGAGAAACCAGCTCTTTTAGGACTTCTCTAAGTTTTTTTGCCAACACCTCTGCCATAATTTTGTACACACTCCCTACAAGACTTGTTGGTCTGTAGTTTTTCACTTCCAAGACACCATTTTTCTTTGGAATGAGGCAAATAAAAGTAGAATTAATTCCTTTGTTTACAACCCCCATGGAGTGGAATTCTTTAAAGACCTTCAAAAGATCCACTCTTACAATTCCCAACAGATCTAAAAGAAGAAGATTGGGAAACCATCGGGCCCAGGGGCTCTATCTTCGTCCATATCAAAGACTGCTTCTCTTATTTCTTACTCCTCAGATTAACTTTCAATCCAAATTCTCTTATCTTCTAAGAGAAGATAAATGTTATTCCAGTTTCAGTGAATTCTAGTGAATAATGTTATTCTAGTTTCTGTCACCAATCCACTGGAGTTCATTCAAATTCACATGGGTTTCTGACTATAAAATAATTTTCCTGTATCACAGGAATTGCCCATTTGAACATATATGGAGTTGCTTACATGAATCCCATTTGGCCATTTAATTTATTAAACTAAAGATTGAAATCGAATCTTGGAAACATGTTTGTTTTGCTCCTCCGAAATTGTAGATATAATTTAAAAGCAAATTCATGGCAATGTACATTACAATTTTTGTACTGGTAGAACTGTCTTTTTCATGGATTTAGTAAACAATGGCAAACTCATGGTATCACTTCAACTGGTCAATCAATTTAAATTAAAATATATGCAATTAATTGTTTCTATTAATATTATAGCAACTTCGTGTAGGTTTCCTTCCTTTATTGCAGACCATGTGGAAACCACTCACCAATCACTACTTTAAAGGGACACTACTTCCTCCGTCAACATCCAACTGTCAACTACATGAATTGTTTTAGTGATATTGTACCCTGAAATTGTGGGTTTTATTGAGGAAGAGAAAGACCAGTTCCCCTCTGTCAAAGTTCAATATGTTTTTAATTCTCCACCCAAACTTGTCATGTTGGCTCATTAAATATTGACACAAAATGGGCCATCGGGACTCCTGAAAATTGGCTTATGGCATTTAGTGGAAGCCCTCCTCTGTTTAGTACATGTTCATTAATCTTTAGGGGGCTTTCTTGACAATCCAAAACAAAGCAGCATAGGCATTTGTTTAAATAAATCAAGCATGGAATTGATTTAATATAGGGTCTCTCAAACCTAACACATTAACCTATAGCCTCTATGATAAAAGCCAACTTTGCTTTTTTCCTTCTCATCCATGTTAACCTTGTTGCCAGTTGCCATTTCCATTAGTTTTCTTTTTTTTTTTTTTTTCGGTTAGCTTAATACTGAACTCTAATTTTTATGATGGTGTGGTTTTCTTCATATTGGATTGATTTAGTTCGCATAAGCTCCGGAGTTTACTGGGTCTTTATGGGGTTGTAGATGTTTCTAACTTAGTACTCCTAGCATGATAAGTTCTGACTTAATACCCAGGCTTGCACCTGAAGCACATCTGTTGGATGGTCATCTTTCTAGTGGACTGAGCACTCCGCCCGGCATTGCACGGTATGAAATAAGCAGATTGTTATGTCTCCATATTTCACCTTTTAGATTGTGTTCCTTTTTTCAAATAATCGGGTTAACATCTATCATTTCTGCAGGGCTTCTCTTTCTTCAATCTATTATGGAGGCCACTTCAGTTTTCCTTCACTCGAAAGCAATCCTGTTTGGTTTCTCTTTTGCAAAAACCAATCAGCTCTCTCTCAGACAACGAAACAAACAACTACAAGCTCATCTTCTTAATGAACGCTCTTGGAACTTGAGGAATTTCGGAATCATCAAAACCCCTTTGGAATGCTCGTACTCATGTATATCTCAAAATTCATAAAGCAAAACCCTGAAAAATCCCGTTTTCGCATCACCATTATCAACGAAAAAGACAGGGAGGAAGAATCGAATCCTTTCATCCTCTTAAATGCTCTTATTCCGACAACTCTGGATTCCAAAACTCATCAGCCAGAACCCTCAAGAACCTTTCTCTTTCTTTGTTGAAGAGTACCATTTCTAATCTTACCCCTCCGGACGTCTGCAAATGGTCTGCTATTCTCTCCATCTCCATTGCAACAACAAAATGGACTGTAAATCTCCTATTGGATCCTTTCTTCTGGATGTATTTCAGCTGGACCTGGCTTTTCTGGCCTTGGTTCCTAGCCATCAGTCTTGCACTCTATGGACTTTATTGCCTACGAAAACACTTTCGTGGTGAAGCAAACATCTTTGAACAGCTAGTCGTAGTGACCTCGACATTTACTTGGCTCACTCTTGTTCCACCCGCCCATTTTAACGGCTATCTGGAAGGAAGGCCGTTTGTTTTCTTCTTTGTTTACCACTATTTTTTCTTCTTCAATGTCAGTGTCAGGAAACGCCTGTATGGCGACTACTATCCTCGATCCCATGATCCCAAATGGGATGTTAGTCCATCCAATTCTCATCGGCTTGGGTTTTGTGTTGGAGTTATGGCTGGCAGCATCTGAAGGACCGGCATTGCATCTCACGCCTGGAGGATGGACTAATGGCGTAATTTGGGCCATATAGATGGGTCCGCCATCCGATATATGCATCCACGATGCTTCTCTTTTCAACTTACTGTTTTGCACTCCGGGCGCCACTCAGCTTTCCATTTATGGTAGTGGTTTGTTTGTTGTATTATGGATACAAGGCCAAATCGGAGGAGTTGATGGTGGAGACTTTTGGAGAAAGATATATGGAATGCACGAGTAAAGTTAGGTACAAATTAATTCCTTTTTGTCTATTAGTCTGCTATTTAATAAACTTTGTTTGCTGTGCAACAAAACTGAAATTTGTAGGATTCATTAATTGAACCAATTGATTAAGCTTTAGCACCAATGCCTTGTACAAAAAATGTGATGCGTTAGATTGGACTAAACAGAGTGTTTTATTTTTTTTTTTTTCATGGTCTTCAATTCTGTTATGCCTTGTGATTCTCAATTGGGTGTCTCCTGCATTCTCTTATGTTGCCTAAGTTGGTGGCATGCTTATTTCTTATGTTGCTTCGTCAATTTGTGTTTGTTTATATTTGCCACCTCCATCATCGGAACCTTGATAAGCTGCATGCTAGTGATTTTTCACCCATCACTTATACTACTTCATTTGTGATGAGTCTTTGTATTGTAATCATTTTGGTTCGTCATTCTGCTTAGAATATCAGGATTTAATTGAAACTTCTACAGGTTATGCTGTGCTCCAGGCCTAAGTGCCTGCTAATTTGTTCAAAAATTTATCTTTCTAATTTGGAATCCTTTATCATGGCTCATTTGCAATCCGTCATCCACCTGAAGGAGAAAAATAAAGAACATAGACTGCTTACATTCATGCTACCCGTTTTTGTTTTTTCTCCTTTATTTTATTTTTGTCTAATTGTCTCACCAGAAATTCACATGAAATATCTACCAAAAATCTTTAAGGTTTTTGCATGGTTTAAGGATTGTTGAGATATATAATTTTGGTAAATGTTAATCTGTGCCATCTAAACTATTAACCATTTAGTTTGAACCAAGTTATGTCTGCTGCTTGGACTAACAACATAAATTCTGTTTGGTCACTGCCAAGTCCTTTCCACAATTTTACTGAATGAAAGCTGAACAGCATATTCTTATCTCCTGCTTGGACTTTCAAAATTCAATATATGTTGTTTGAAGCATAATTGGTATTGCTGGAGACACCTCAATTAGATGTTTCCACTGGTACTTGCTACTTTTAACTGCTCTAAACATGTGGTCAATCTAGAGAACTATTTACCTAGCGGCTTGGCCAGAAAATGAAAATACCTGCATTAGGCTGAAAAGGGATAGATTGCGCAACAAAGGATATGGGCAACCTGATTTGGATTCATAGGCAGGCTACGAGGCAGATTAGATGCCTATCAGAAGAGATTGGTGTAATTGTTGGATGGGTTAGAAGATCATTAAAGTATTGTATTAATTTGTAAGATCAGGTAATAAATACAAGCCATGAGGCTTGAAACAAAAGGAGAATCTTGGGCAGGTTGTGTCTTAGAGAAGTTGCCCGTGCAAAACATACAGAAACCATCATTTTTTGATAATAAATAAAAGAGAAACTTCATTAAATAAAGATACACTAACAAATAGGGTGTTGAGATAGCATGACAATCCAAAAAGAAGGTGCAGACAACAAAAAACAGCACTCATATTTTAATTCAGATTACAACATCAAATTTCAATTCAAGAGTCTCCAGAAACTTGAACCAAAGGAAGTTCTATCCGCCCCTGAGAATTCCAGCAGCACTAAAACCCAATCCACAATCATATCCTCATCATAATAAAAGAAAATCCGCCACACTGCAAGAATAATGCCTCATGTCTTCATCACCATTATTGATTATTGAACATGTAATATAAACTCATAGTATTCAAGTTCCTCTTCTTTAAATGAGAACTGTCTGTTTTTTTTTTCCTTTACTGCAAAATTTAAATTGATGAGTTAGGGTTTCTTCTTAATGACTTGAATTTTGTTCTACACTTTGACTGACAATTCTTCGGATATTTTAACTCTGAAATGAGACTAGTTGTATTCAACTATTTGGCTAGAGAGAGAGGATTTTTGGGCAGTGATTTAAAAAGGTGCACCTAGGCACACAGGTGAGATGCATTTTAAGGTATGTGCCTTGCCTAAGCCCTAGGCAGAACAATTTCAAAAGGCACATGCCTGGTGTACCTTGAGCTTCAAGCCCTGGCATGCACCTTTTTTTATTTTTTTTTGTACTTTTTGTTATTTTTTTAGAACCATCTATTTGCTAATGATGATCATTAATTCATCCTAATAAAATATCTTCTTTAAAGGCAATTAAAATTATAAAATCTTTTTTTGTTTTTTTTTTTGTATCAGGATTAAGAATTTAAGAGCCTAACATGGAGTTATTTGGGCTTGCCTCAACTAATGGGGTTTGGTATGAAGGCAGCTCATAAATTCAGGATGCAAAATATTTTACATCAAATTAGCTATTTGAAGTAATGCAATTGGGAAAAAAAAGAGATTGAGGGCTTTACATGCTTCAACATGTTTTATATGTTTGATTTTATTTTTAAAATTTCATTTGAATATGTTTTACATGTTATTTTTATGTATTTTAACTTTAGATAATAAGTTTTTCTAAAATATTTATTTTAAAATTTAAGTTTATATTTTTAATGAATATTATGTTTAATACTTTTAGATAATAGGTTTTTCCAAAATATTGCTAATGAAGTAATTGATTTGAGGAAGAGAAGTGGCCGTGTGGGACTGTTAGTAGACATGGAGAAGGCATATGACCATGAAATTGATAAAAAAAAAGGCATACGACCATGTAAACTGGAACTTTCTAGACTACATGTTGAAGAGGATAAACTTTGGTGTGAAATGGAGAAATTGGATAAAAGTCTGTTTCTCTTCTTCCTCATTTTCAGTCCTTGTAAATGGTTCTTCGTTTGGATTATTCAGGAGCACTAGAGGTCTCTGACAAGGGGACCCCCTCTCCCCTCTCTTATTCATCTGTGTAATAGAAGCCCTCTTCAGGATGGTAGAGAGAGCAAGGGTGGGAGGGCTGTTGGAAGTTTTCCAAGTAGGTAATGGGGAAGTAGAGATCTCTCTTCTGCAATTTGCATGTGACACTCTTTTTTTCTGTGATGCTTCATGGGATCAAATCTGGAATGTAAAAGCAATCCTAAGATGGTTTGAAACTTTGAGGTTGTTATAGGCTTACATGTTGGCATTCAAAAGAGTGAGATTATGACTGTTGGGGAAGTGGCAAATCTGGAATCTTGGGCAGATGATTGGGGATGCAGAGTGGGTAAACTCCCATCAAAATACCTGGGTATGTCTTTAGTAGAAAACTGTAAATCCAAAACTGTAAAGAGACTAGGCCGAATGGGCCCTAACAGCCTCTTATGTGATATCCTTTATTTTATCTTTTATTTTATGTTGATGGGCCTCACTTAATGGGCCTGTTATTTGTTCTTATTTTATTTTCTTTATGTAACTGCCAAGCTGGCCGCCCACTTAAGGGTATACTTGTCATCATCAATTTGTTTTAGAGATTAATAAAAAAAATAGGGTTAGAGGAGAAGGAAGACTAATTCAACTTCTTCTTCTCTTACCTCTTCTCTTTGGCATACACAGCTCTTGCACTATCATTCAGATCTGATTTGTATTGTTAATCATTGATTTTAAACCTGATATTAGAGGACTGATTCACATTTTGGTATCAGAGCGGGTTCAGTTCCTCTTCCTTCTTTTTCTTTGTTCCTGCACACTCTAAAATCAAGAGAGTGTATGGAGAGATAGGTTCTCTATAGTATAGAGAATCACTTGCCTAGTTGGTAGAAGGGTTTAGAGAATTTAGTTCTGGCCAGATTTTGCCAAGAAGTGATGTTGTCTTGCTGCTGCCCGAAACCGTAGCCGACTAGAGATTTTCGAGTTACCAGGAAAGGTGAAGCTTGGGTGTGGCGCTCTGTGCTTGGAAGGTGTCTTGTGGCTGCTAAAGGAGGGCGGTTCAGGTTTGGAAGAGCTTGGGTTACTCTGGTAGGTGCGGCAGTGTCTTCTCTCTCCCGCCCATCTACTGGACGGAGCAAAACCCTAGCTTTTGAAGCACCCAAGTTCTGGTTTGACTTCAAGTAAGTTCACATAGTCAAAATTTTCTGTTCTTTGATTTCCGTTTGATTAATGGAGACATATGGAAGTGAGTTCAAGCAGGTGCCAGCTTCTGGACCTGTTCTAGTAGATTCCGTTTTGACGGGTGTTACCACAATTAAGCTAGATGGGATGAACTATCTTGCTTGGGCACAGTCT